GCTACACGTTCCCATAATGCAGCCTCATCACTGGTGTCGTCAATTTTATTCGAGGATTCAGTTAATGTTAGTTGGCGTTCTCTGGAATTAAAAAACCAGTTTAATCTGAAATCAGTCAATAAGGACCAACAAGTTTACGTCTAAAGGAGTCAAGTTTAAGAAACGGAAGAGAAGGAAGAAACCCGTTAAGAAATGAAAGAGATTAAACCGGTAAAACCAAAAGAAAACCATCCCTCTGAACTAAAAAGGGTAACAGTGGGAAGTCAACAGTGAGAGATCCATCCAAGTATTTACATCGACCCAATGGAATTTCCTATCCCATAACATAAAATTTAAATGATTCATCAAGCTAAAGTCCTACTAAAACTGATCCGAAAAATAATTTTAAAAACTAACTGATTCTGCTTCTTTCTCAACTCCAGTTGTGTCTTTCGTTGAGCATAGAACTGTTCCAATTCCTTTTTGGCTTGCTGACGAAGCTCCTCCTTTTTGGTCTCCTCTTCCTCATCTAAAACCAAAAATAAATTTTAAAAAATCAAAGCAAAATAAACCTTTCAACGCAATCATTTGAGCTTGCTGCTCACGCCATTTACGTATCTTCTCTGGCTCCTCTTCAGGTTGAGTGCTCTGACTTCGAGATCCATTCGTTCGGCTACCTAGAAAAAACAAAATTTTTTAAAAATGACTGGCAGTCTGACTTACTGGTATAATTTTCAATGTCATTGGCCAGCGAGGCAACGTTCACGTCAGAGTTAAATTGAGTCAAACCAAAACCGGAAGTGCCATTGGTCAATGTTTGGACTTCGGGAAATCCATTTTCTGTGGCTGAAATTGAAGTGATAATAAAATTGAGGAGAAATGGACGATTATTGGAGAAATTATTCCAAAGATAAAACAACAATTGATCAAAAATACCGAGTTTAGTGTCCAACCCCTTCATATATTTTTTCTTAGAATGTAAATAATGGTCAGGTATATATGGTCCACACGATTTCCGTGTAAGATATTCTTTTTCCCCTTTCCTGACCATTATGTCATTTGAAAAAAATATAGGAAGGGTGTAAGAAGCTCAGAAAATCAGAAAAACTAATAATACCATTGTTTTCCAATGTAGATCCAACAAGTTCAGGCTGAACAACAAAATCGTCACCAAGATCAGCTAACACAGACTGTTCTCTAGCAAGAAATTCGGAAACAGGGTCATTAGATTCCATTTTATTAGTCAAATACAAGTTAGAAAACCTGGAATTTAATGAAAATTTAGGAAAGATCAAGCGAAATCAGCGTAAAAAGATCAAAAGTTAATGACTACGTGGAGGAGAAAAAATAGTGTGAGAGTAAAAGAGAAAAAAGAAGAAAGGGGACTATTGAGTATCACGTATATAGCAAGAATTGAATTGAGACTCAAACTGCACAAAACATAATGCCAAAGAATTAAATGCGGCAAATTACAAAAGTAAACAGTAGATTTTTCTGAAAAATTTTTCTAAAATTTTAAAAACCTCCGGAGGTCGTGTTTTTGATTTTTTTTGTTTTTTCATTTGTTTTTTTTATTCGTTTTATGTTCCCCTTGCAGCGCAGCGAAAAATTTAACAAAAAATTTGATAAAAATTCGAATTTTTAACAAGGAAAAAAATTTTAAATTTATAGGCTCGACTCCATTGCTGTTGATGGTGGTTGTGGTTTTTTTGTTTTTTTTTGTTTTTTAAAATATTTTTCTAAAAGTATGAAATTGCAGGTGTGCTCAACTCAACGATGTGCTCAGCAAGAAGATGGCTCCCTGGCAGAATGGGAGCAAGGACAGGTTTTTTTGGCTTCATGTTTTGAAAATGATTTTTCCCTTAGATGCAACTCCAGCCTGGTGGACGCCAACATGGTGGTGCTGTTGGTGGACCTGCTACTTGTGGAGGGGTTAAATGGAGGTTTCTTGATTGTTCTAATTTTTAAAGATTTTTTTATTTAATAGGCCTGTTCTTGGCCTGATGACCTGCTAGTGGATGACGTGCTAGTTGTGGAGGGTTTGGATGGAGGTTTTTGTTTTTTTTTAATTATTAGATTTTTTTCGTTTAGGGCCTGTTCTCTCGGTCTGATGGTGGTGGTTGCTGATGGTGGATGTTGGTGCTGTGATGAGGCCTGCTCTCGGCCTGATGTGTTTGGAGCTGTTTGGTCTGCTGTGGTTTGGTGGTTGTTGGTGGGGGGATTTTTTTAAAAATTAAAAAAAAAATAATTAATGGTGGGAGGGGGTTTATTTCCAGCCAGGTTCAACTCCAGCAACTGGTGGCGTCAACATTGGTGGCCTCACCTTTCAACAACTCAACATGGTAAATTTCATTTTAATTTTGAAAAAAAAATTGCAAAAGCTAAAAATATGCGCGCGAGCTCTTCCCTTCTTTTATTTTTTCCTGTTGTCCTTGTCCTTTGTTTTTTTCACATTTTTTCAATCGTCTAATTTGGAGATTTTTTGAGATTTTAACAATACAGGTCATTTGGAATGGGTGGAAAAAGCTGCAGCAACTGATCAATGGAGGACATTCAGCAAAAATCCGGACAAGCAACAATCATAGTAAGCGAATCCCTAATTCAAGCAGTCGAAAGTGGAGGTTCGTGAGGGGTTTTGCTTGCCAGAGATCTAAAATTCAAATTTCTGGCATTCTGTTATTTTTTCGATAAATGACAATTAATCCAATCAATATAATAGGAAATAGTACAGGCGAGTGAGTTAGACACTTTTTTTTTGTTTTTAGTAAGGGTCGTTGGAGTCTGATAACCCAAATTTGTTGATAACTTTGTTTTTCTTTTTTAGCCAACAACTTTATGTCCTGTGACGGACTTTTAATTCATTTAGCTCATTCTTATATTGAATACTATACTGAACTTCTCGGCGAACTCTTCTTGCGATATTTTTGTCCCTACAAACCAGCAGCATATCCTCCGGATAAAATACCTTCTAACATGAACATGAAAGAACCTGCAAAATATGCAAATGATAAAACCTTGCCAAGTACATCAATAAATGAACAGAGACCAGGTTTTTTTTAATTTAATAATAATTTTTTGGTGTGTTTAAGATGTCAAAATGCGCAAAATTCGACGTGTTGGAACTACTTGTTGGGACTACCAAGCTAAAGAAAAGGATGAATTGTAAGTCCTAAAGTAATTTTTAGTTTATTTTTGTTCTTTAAAGGTCTTTCCGGCATGGTTCTGTTGTGGAGATTTTAAATGATGAAAGGTATTGAGTTTTAATTTTTTTCTAAATTTTGCTATGACTTGAGAAGGGTAATTTTAATGGGAAAATAGTTCCGATTGTCTAAAATAGGGAATACAAACATTTAACATAAGCTAGAATTTATTGGGTATACTCACAATATAATGCTCCCCAAGGGGGCAGAACGACTTACGGGCCCAACTTACGTTCCAACCTCCTGCTCCTCGACCAATTTAGTTTTAAATTATTTCATCCTTTCTTTTTTTCAGTTGTGAGGATGGTTGGGTCATGGCACGCATTGATAAAAAGAAGGGAATGGTCCCTGGAAATTATGTAAGAGAAAAAATTTTTATATCAATTTATTTTAATTTTTTAAGGTCGTTTTGGTTGGCACTGGACCAAATTTGATCAATTCTGAGGATGTTAAACGCGGAGATTTATTAGCTTCTGGAGGGTTTGCTAATGTATTTAAAGGATCTTTCAAAAATCAGGTAAAATTGGTTTTTTGTTTTGCCTGTTTTATTTTTGTTTTTGGCAGGAAGTTGCCTTAAAAATACCCAAATCGGGCACAGAGCAAAATCGGGAAGGTTTTTTAAATTTTTTTTTAGGAAATTTGTGTAATTTTTAAATTTAAAGATTTGGAACGAGAAGCCTTAATTCTTTCTAGAATCAAACACGAAAATATAGTTGGATTTTTTGGGTATTCATTAGATCCTCTTTTAATTGCTTTGGAGCTTTGTAGAGGTTTTTTTTAATTTTTTAAAAATATTTTAGAAATTTTTTTAAAAATTAAAAAATTTTTTAGGTGGTGCTCTCATTAATTTATATAGACGAATGGCTTCCTCTGATATTTTAACTGTTATTTGTTGGGCAAAACAGGTCGCTAGTGCAATTCAACATCTTCATTCAAGAGATGATCCTGTAATTTATGCTGATTTGAAAGCTGAAAATGGTTCTTGTTTTTTAACTTTTTTATTAGAGTTTGACATTTTCGAATTTCCGGTCGGGGTTTTTAAATTTTAGATCGGCCCAAGCCGGGGTTTCTGAGTTAGCATCATTCAATTTCATCAGAGGTCATTGTGGTCTGCTCTCTGACGGAGTGGTCCTCTGACAAATCTATCGGACACGCTGAGTACCCCAAAGATGGAATATTAACAAATATTAACAAGACCACACTTTTCTGGTCAGAAAACCCGATCCTGGACCATATTCGCTGTCGAATTTTTATTTTTATGATTCTATTTAATTTTTCTTTTATAGTTTTGATAAAAGAAATTCCTTGTTTATGTGGTTTAGATGATGAAAGTTGGAAAATTGTGAGTTTATTTATTTTCTTAGAAAAAGTGAAAATTCAAAGTTATAGGTGACCAATTATACAAAGAACAATTCTTGTCGTAAATGTAAAGGTTTAAGAATTGATTTGATTACATTAAAAATATCAGGTTAGTAAAAATTGGTCTAGTTTATGAGTCTAATGATTTTAGTTATAAGTTATTTTTTTATTGTACTCATAAAGCTTCTAGAGATCGATCTGGAGCTGGATCCTGACTTTTATTAGATCCAGACTCAAGATCAGTGATATTTTTCAGTGTTCCTTGATTTTTCTTATTGTTAGACTCAAGTCATGAATCAAATTCCTCAACTAAAATCAAGTCACGTTGTTTTAACAATAAGATGTTTACTCCCTAATAAGCGGAAAAATCATTGATAAAACTCACGCTTTGTTTGGACTCATAAACTACACAAGAATCATTTTCTAAAAATTCTTTCCAACAGATTTCAATGTCTCAAAGAATGGCACACTAATAAAAAATGATGAAAGTTGTGATGGTTCAGTTCCTTGGATGTCTCCAGAAGTTTTAGAATGTAATGGTGTTACAACAATGATAGATGTTTGGTCATTTGGTAAGAAAAAGAAAAAATAGTTGGCTAATTATTAGACTTGTTTTAATTAATTTTTTTTATTTTTAAAGCAAATTTTTTGTGGGAAGTGCTTTCAAGAAAAATACCTTACAAAAATCAAGGAATTTATACTATTCGGAATTTTGTGAGTTTTATTGATTTTTAGGGAAAAATTTTTGAAATTTTTGGGGAAAAAATTTTAAATTTTTTGAAAAATTTTTCAAAAAAAAATTTTTTTGACAGATGAAAAATGATTTGCCTCTTCCTTTACCTGATGATTTACCTTTGGAAATGAGAAAAATATTTGAAAGTTGCTGGAAAAAAATCCCAATTGAACGTTCACCAATTAAAGATGTTATTGAAATGTTGGATGTTGCTGAATTAAATATTGATAGTAATTATAAATGGGTAAGAATTTTTAGGAGGGTTTTTGTGAGGGGGGGGGAGATTATGTTAGAAATAAGGAAATTTTAGTTTTTTGGACAATTGAGAGAATTCAAAATTTTTTATATAAAGGACTAGGGCAAAGAAGAAGCTTAAAGTTAAGCTCTGTCAGAATGTAAAAAATCTGCTTGATGACCAATCGTAAGAAAAACCAATTTAAACGTCATGGGCTTATTGTTAAATTATGCCTCCTTCTTTGACTTGTACTAGATTAAATAAAGAAAATTTTAAAGGACATGTGTTAAGCCAAAATTATTGCCAAATTTTAGGCCGATTTCTATCATATTTTTTATTATTTTTAAAGATATTACCAAAAGAACAACCTGAAGAAACCTTTAAAAACAGTCAAATATTAAATGATCAATCAGAAGAAATGTTAAATTGTTTACAAATTAATTCTTCAGGAGAATCTTTTAAAATTCCAATTTATGAAGCTATAATGCTTATACAAAGATATGGAACAATATTACCAAAAGAATTGGATGAAATGAAAAAATTGGGAATTGAATTACATCCACCAACACCTGCAAAACGTTTAAAAAAATCATCAAAATTAAATAAAGAAAGTATTGGACCTCCAATAAGTTTGCTTTGCGAGTTTTGAAAATTTTAATTTTTTTTCAAGATTTTCGCCATAATGTTTCTGCAAGAGTTAGAAGTTCCAGTTCTGATGATAAATCATTTTCTGATGAAAAAATTCTTGTTATACATCGTTAGTTTTTTTTAATTATTTTTTCTTTTGTGGTTAGTCACAAGTGTTTGTCTGTGGTTTGTTTAAAAAAATTTTTTTAGGTTTAAAAAAAGATCAGGATCGTCATCGTTCTCATGATTCTTTAGTGGATCAAAACATTGAAGATAATAAAGAAGATAGTTTGTCAACAATTCATTCAATGCTAAAATCGCAACAACAGCAACAACGAGGGGTTTATTTTTAATTTTATACAATCTAAGGTCACTTTAAGATAACCTCATTTAATTGTGAGCACTAATTGTGAGCACTCTCATTATAGATACCCGCACGTTAATTTAGCTAAATTTTGGATATCATCACTTTAGGATACTTTAAGCTACATTGTTTTTCACTTTCGACTTTCAACTTAAAAAAAATTTGTCTAAAATGGAAGAAACTGGCTTCTTTCGCTCCAAAATTCAAAAAAATTTACCACTTTGGTTACTAGAGATCGGCCTGGGTCTGGACCAAGGCTTGGGTTTTTCCTGAACCCAGAGTCAAGGGCCTTCCTGGGTTTTTCCTATTCTATTATATGTTTTCTTATCTATAAAAAAATTTTTTTGTAGAATATCAAAACCAATCGTCCAGACAACTTTCGTAAACATGACTATTTAACTCTTAGCACAATTGTTCCAAAAGCAAAAATTCCTCATCAAAAAATTGAAGAAAAAAATTGTGCTCAAATTGTTGATGAAGATTCTTCTCAATTCAATGAAGAAAATAAAAATTTTGAATTAAAAAAAGAAAGAGGTTTAAGTAGAACAAATGCTGTTAGACCAAAAATTTGTGAACAATTAATTCCTGAAACTATAAGTAATGCTTCTTCACCTTCGGATTCTTTGTCGTCAGAAGGTTTTGTTGTTAATTCTGAAGGTTTTGTTGTTGTTAGTGCTACTGGTGCAGGTTTATTTTCTTTTTTGTGGGTTTTTTGGTGTTTTGTATTTTTTGGTGGTTGGTGTAATAATTTTGAGGGGTTTTTTGAGTGATCTGAGCTGTCACGAATCCTCTCCCCTCTCATTTGGTATAACTTTGTTTGGGTTTTTTGAATTTTGCCCCCTGCCCCCTAATTTATTCATAGTTCGTTTCTTTAAAGTATTTATCAAACAAAAATTATCCAGGGATTTAAAAATCTTAAACGAAGTTATATTAGCCCTTCGATGGATATTGAGTTACTATAAATCATCGAAGCTCCCGATTTTTTTCATTTAAAATTTTTTTTAAGATTTCCACAGCCCATCTCATCCATCTGATAAATCGTCTTTTAACGTTACAAATTTATTTAATCGAAGAATAAGCCCTCCTCATCATCAACAACAAAATTTATCATCAATTACACCAACATCAGCACGTAATTCAATACAACAACAAAATGAGGCTAATGAACATGTAAAGGGTTCAATAAATAAAGAGAATCGAAAATCCTCTTCTTCAAATCAATTAATATCAAATAGTATATTTTATGTTCCCTCAACAACAACAGCAACAGTTGAATCAAAAACTACTACACCTGAAAGTGATTCATCTTCATCTTTTGATCCATGTAGTAATGCTTTAAAATTAAAACGTGGATGGATAAATAAACTTTTTGGAACATCTCCACGTCCTTCTATTTGTGGTGGTGTTGGTGGTGATTCTGAAGTAAATTTGGAAGATTCTGTTCAATTGGAAAAATTGGAAAAGATTGGGTTTGTTTTTAGTAAGTAATTTTTTAGGAGAGGATTTTTGATGGTTTTTTTATTAACAAACTTTCACTATAAGAGACCTTCCTTAAGATGCTCTCTATTTAAGGTACTTGAATACCTTAATTTATGATGCTTTTTTTTAACTTGTTTGGTTACTGGGTCGGGGTAGCTATCTAATGTAAGCGATACCCTCTATCTTTAAGTTAACACGTTATACAGTCGACCTCCCTCATATAAGATACACTCATAATTAGGTACACTTTAATTTAGGGACACCTTAATTTAAGGCACGCGCTCTTTAAAATTTGCTTGGTCATTTTATTGGGCGATGTTTAAGCGATACCCTCTACCAAGGGCATAGGTTCGATTTCATGTGGAGGGGCTAAAATAGGATGTTCGCCATAGTTTTGGAATAGGGTGTCCTCCCTGGCTACGCCCTTGCCCTCTACTATTTACGGTACGATTTTCCTGTCCGAGGGTGTATCTTATTATCTTTTTTGACAAAAACTTAAGAAAAAAATTTTTTAGTTTTGATAGACAACAACACGAAACTACACCTAAATATAAAAAACGAACAGAAAGTAGTAATATAATTAAATCACGTCATAAATCATCTAGTTTAAATCCGATTCATCACAACTCAAAAGAAAGACTTTCAATAAATACAATTATACAAATGGATGATGATTATGGTGATTATGATAATTACCAACAAGAACACCGACCTAATAAATCTTTTAATTTAAATTTTGGTTTGATTTTTTTATTAAAATTTTTTTTGGAAATTTTTTGACCATTTTGGGCTTTTTTGTAATTTAAAAAAAATTTTTGCTTAAAAAATTTCAAGAAATTTTTTTTCTTTTCAAGAGCCTATAGATGAAAATTATTCAAATTCTTTAACAAAAACTTGTAATTCTGCACGTTCATATAATGATTTAAATAATACAAATGATAGAAGAAATATGCAATCATCACGTTGTTATATTCAAGAAGAAGCTGATTGTTTTCATCAAAGATCAAAATCTTCTGAAACTCCGATAACTTCACAATCAAGGTTTTCTTTTTCTAATTTTTTAAGAGGTTAGGAATTAATTTGAGGGTTTAAGGTCTCGTGGTTGTGGGGGGGGGGGGGGGGTGAAGAAGCAGGAAAAAGTAAAATCTTCCTTGCGAAGGTATAATTCTTGAAAATGTTAAGGGCTTAAGCGAAGTTTAAAAGATCTTAGGAGGGTGGGGTTTGAAATGTGATGATAGTGAGAGGGTGGTATCTACCGATAAGACATAGTTGTCTATATTTCACAGAGTTTCTGGTAGCTAAAAATTTTTTTATAGAAACGATTTGTTGAACTTTTTGATGCAACCACCTACAAACACTACATTTTTTAATCCTTCATATATCTCTATGCAAGAAAATCAAAAGGTTTTTAGTTAATTTTTTAATTAAATTTTTTGAATTTTTAGGCCCTTGTACAATCTGTAACTCAAAAAAATCAAGCACCAATTCCAATGCCTAGGAAAAATAAAGTTACTTCTTTGGTTCCTTCGTTGGGTGCTCCACGCCAAGTATCAGCGAATGACCAGCCTTGGCCAACATCTGAAGCTCCAATGCTTGAAAAGGAATCGAAAACTTCTATCGCTACTCAACAATCATCGTCAATTGTTGTTCGTCCAAATACTTTGCGCTTACTTCCACCACAACAACAGACAACCACAATTTCGCCTTTAAATAGTTTAGCAACAACTACTACAACAACACCTTCAACTTCTACAACAACAACTACAAATACATTTTCGCATTTACTTCAAGAAAATAATTTATTAAGACAATGTGACAGTGGAATATATCCTGAAGGAAGCACTGACGATGTTTGTAGTTATTTTACAAATTTTTAAGAATTAGAAAAATTATGGGGATCAGGGATGGGCTGTGTTGAGGAAAAAAGTTAGATTGAGTTTTCAAAAAATTTTTCAGATCGAGTTTCGTATTTTGGGTCGGAAAAGGTTTTGGGTATCAAGTTTGCGTAACCCGCCCATATCTTATTTGAAGTAGTTTTTAGATGAACCTGTAGTAGTATTTTTGCTGATTTATTTTTTTATGATTTTAATTAGATATATTTTTTTTAAGAATTTGTCTACAAAAGCAAATTTTTCAAAAAGAAAATTTTTTGAAAATTTTCGAAAAATTTTTTTAGGGTCACCCTTTCTGTAAGAAAAATAATTCTTTAATATTTATTTTTTATATTCATTTATTTTAAGGAAACAAAACTTCAACATTTGGATTATCCTTGTACATCTTCAGATGCATCTCCACAAATTCGTCATCGTTCAGGTTTAAAATTTAATTTTTTTTTTTTGAAATTTAAAAATTAAACAAAAAAAAAGATTCTTCTTCTGGACTTCCACTATCTCCTCCACCACCTCCACCATTATATCCAAAAAGAACTCATGGACAAAGAATTCCAAAACTACCATTTGATATACCAAGAAAAGTTGAAAGATTTTCATAAAAGAAGATTTTTAAAAAATGCTGAATGAACAACAACAACAATAAAAAGTGACCTTTTTTAAATGAATTTTATTAATCAAAAATCTTTTATTCTTTAAAGAAGAAACTCGTATTTTTTTAATTTTAATTTTTGTAAATTTTTTTTAAATTTTAGAGATAGATTACTTGCCCAGTAAATATTCTAATAGAATCCTTGGACCTATTGGAAGACCCCTCAATGGGACCTATTTGCGTAAGGAATATAAACTAGGCTAGTGATCAGGCTGGCTAGGTTATTCATACTAGTTGGTGGGCATTTAAGATGCTTACATGGCGATGGTTTAAGATGTATTAAAAAAAGATTTGGTGCAAACTGTGCCCCAGCAGTTCATTTATTAGGACATCTGTACGTAGTGAGCAACATGAACAACAACGATGTATTAAAAAAAGTTTTTTCAAAAAAGTTTTTTCATTAAAAAAAATATTTTCAATAAACCTATTGGAAACACAACATCTTTCTCGCTCACTACGTACAGATGTTGTGTTTCCAATAGGCTTTTTTTTCTCAGGGCTTCTATTAGAATATTTATTTTATTCTAATTTTTATAAATTAAATGGAATTTTTTTTAAAAAGAATTTATATATAGATTTAGTATAAGAGGACAATTGATCCCATTTTTAATTTAATAATTATTATTCTAAATTCGATAAAAATTCGCTTACAAAAATTTTTTTTCTTGTTTTTTAATGAATTATTAAATTTATTCTTTAATATTTTTTTGATTAGAAAATCAAAATTTTTTAAAATAATTTTAGGTTGTATTTTCTTTATTTTCAATAAATTTTAATGAATGGATTTGATGAAAATATTATTTAGAAGAAATTTGTTTAATGTTTTTAAATTACAACGACGGCTATGTTGGTCTAGTAGTGCTGAAGAATTCTTTGCTAATGTTCCAAGGTTTTTTTTCTAAAATATTTTTTATTTTGGTGACATTTGGTCCTGTCATCGATTATTAAATTTTGTTGTGGGTCAATGGCAGTGATACAAGAGGATGTTGACTTAGGTGACGTTCTCTTCCGTTTGTCGAGGGTGAGAACGGTATTGACAGGAAGTTGAGTTCAACCTGCTCGCCAAAACGCATACGAACTTGATGCATGGGTCAACATCTTTTTTATCGCGGCCGTTGCACCACCACATTTTTTGCTATCATTTTTTAAAGGTTAGCTGACGTTGACAAATTTGATGCAAAATTGGTTGAAAAACATTATTTTGAAAGACCTAAACAGTTTGAATGGCCAAACAGTCCCAACTTTACAATGGTTTTGCCTCCACCAAATGTGACAGGAAATTTACATGTTGGACATGCACTTACAGTTGTTGTGCAAGATAGTATTTGTCGCTATAATAGATTGTTGGGAAAGGAGGTTTTAATTTTTTGTTGTGATTGAAACTCATAGGCTCCCATAAATCGGTTTATTGATATTTTCTAGGTTTTAGGGTTGTTGACCCTATGTGAAAATAAACGTCCCATAGATTACTTTATTAAGATTTTCCAAGTTTTTTAAGGTTTGGATAGGTTCATTAACTTTTTTTTTGATGTTTGAGTTTTGTGGCCGGTTGGAACTGGGTTTGGGACAATTGTAGTTTTTTTTTGGTATTTATAATTTTTGGAAGCATGTTTAAGCATTTAATTTTTGTGTCTTTTAAAAAATTCGAAAAAAATTTTTCTTTAAAGGTTCGTTGGATACCTGGTTTTGATCATGCTGGTATAGCAACTCAAACAGTTGTTGAAAAACATATTTTAAAAAAATTTGGAAGGAAAAGAGAAGAAATATTGACAGATGAAGAATTTTTGTATTTTTGTGATAAGTGGAAAAATGAGTAAGTTTTTTTCTATTTTTTTAAATACTCAAAAAAATTTTTATAGACGTATTGCTGATATTAAAAAACAATTAAATTCATTAGGATGTTCTTTGGATTGGGAACATGAATTTTATACATTGGATGAGGTTTGTTTTGTTTTTAATAAATTTCTCCTTCACACGAGACAGACTGACCTATCCTTGGCATCCTTCATACTAATAAGTTCTAGTGAATGATTACACAAACCCGCATTTCTTTTAGTCTTAAAGTTTGTTAAATCAACTAGTTTTTTCAGGATTTTTCTGATACAGTTACAGAAGCATTTGTTCGTTTATATGATTTGGGTTTAATTACTCGTGAAACTCGTTTAGTCCAATCATTTAATGAAAATGAGCCAACAATGAAAGAACAATGGTTTCTTAAAATGACTGAAATGAATAAAAAATTATTAAAAGATTTGCAAGAAGAATTGTGTAAGGTGTGTTTTTTTGTCTTAAATTTAGAAAGGGAATCTAACCTTAATTTAAGATACGTTTCTGTATTGATTGTATATTAAGTTGCGGAAAAACTGTTTAAGCGACACCGTATATTTAAGGTACCCATCATGGAATTTCATCTTTTGCCAATTTTTGAATTTTTTTGACTTTCGCCTTTTGTTTTTTAAATTGTTTTCGGCAGACCCCAGCTAGGTATACTTTGCCTTTTTTAACTTGAGTGGTCACTGGATCTGTGAAATGATTAATCGATACCCTTCGTTTATGATACCTCTAGTTATAAGACTGATTTTATCTAATCTCAAGGGTGTATATTATAATTTAATACAAAAATCTTTTTTAAGTTTAATATAAATCCTGCTACCGTTAAAGGCAATTTGATTGAATTTTTAAAATTTGAAGAGCCTTGGTGTTTAAGTAGACAACTTATTTGGGGACATAAAATACCTGCATATTTTGTTGAAAGTTCAAAAAGGTTTTTTTTAGTAAATTTTTTTTATAATTTTTTTATCAATAGATGGATAGTTGCTTTAACTGAAGAAGATGCTCGCGAACAACTTTTGCCTTCAGAAAAGGATTCTAAATTAATTCAAGATTCTGATGTTCTTGATACTTGGTTTAGGTTAATAAATAATTTTTGGAATTTTTTTTGACAAAAAAATTTTTTTAAGTTCTGCATTAATTCCATTGGTTATTGGTGATTATCCTAATGGAAATAAAATTAGTTTAATGGAAACTGGACATGATATAATAGGTTTTTGGGTTGCTAGAATGTTGGTTATTTGTAAAAGGTTTTTTTTTAATTTTTGGAAAAATTAAAAAAAAATTTTTTTCCAAAGATTAACTGGCCATTATCCATTTTACAATATTTTAATTCATGGTTTAATAAGAGATAGTCAAAATAGAAAAATGAGCAAATCTTTGGGAAATGTTGTCGACCCAATGGATATTATTAATGGAATAACACTTGAACAAATGATTACAAGAATGAAAAGTTCAAATCTTCCACTTGAGGATATGGGTAAGAATTTTGTTTTTTTTCGGAAAAGTTTTTTGCTAAATTCTTTATTCTTTTTTATGTCTTTCTGTAATCTCTCATATTCAGATTTTTTGTATTTTCTTTCCGAAATTTTTTTTTATTAAATATTTTTGTATTTTTATACGGGACACGTTTAAATAGGCGCGCAGCTATACCGGCGCAAAGCCATAATTTGCTGAAGAATTTCTGACCCTTATCAAATTTTAGTGCCATCTTTTTAGCTCACTATGAATCGTTTAAGACTAAATTTGATAAGATTCGGAAATCTTGAAGCAAGTTATGGCTTTGCGCCGTTATTGCCGCGCGCCTGTTTGGGCTGTACCTTTTTTAAGTCATTATTTTTTTCTTTCCAGAATGCTATTATTAATTTTTTTATCTATAATTTCCCCAAAAATTCAAATTTTATTCTAATTTAAATTTTCTTTTTTATAGAAGCCTCAGAAAAAGATTTGAGGAAACGTTTTCCTAATGGTATAAAAGCTTGTGGAGCAGATGCTTTGCGATTTGCACTGTTACGACATGATGCTACAGATTTTGAAATTCATATAGATATACCTCGTTTTGCTGATGAAGGAAGGCGTTTTTGTAATAAAATATGGAATATGTGTAAATATGTTGAAAAAGTTAAGAAAGAAAATAACGAAAGTTATGATCGAGGGGAACAAAAAAATGTTGAATATTTTGAGACTGAGAATGTATGTGATTTTTGAAAATTTAAGAAAAAAAAATTTTTTTTTTAATTTTTAGGATGCCGATATATATAGAAAACTTAATCAAACTGTTCAACTTTATTATTATTTTATGGATAAGAATAAACCACATTTAGCATTTCATCATTTATATTTGTTTATTTTGGTTGATGTTTGTGACAATTATTTGGTATTTTTTTTTAAATTATAATAATAAATTTGAGGAAAAGGAAGGGTTTCGTATGTTTAGTAGCTCTTTCTCGAGTCTTGTAAAATTTTCGGTCTTGAATAATTTTAGCGTTTAAATAAATATAAGTGTGAACGAACCTTAGCAATAATCTAATGCTTGATAAAAAATTTTTTCGTTTTTTTAAACAAAACAAAAACGTTTTTAATTCAAAAAAATTGGAAAAATATTTGAAAAAAAATGTTATTTTTCAATTTTTTTAGGAAAGCACAAAACAAGCTTTATGGACGAAAGATTCACAAAGATTATTCATGATTAAAATTACTCTTGGAACAATAATTTCAGTTTCTTTAACACTTTTACAAACTTTTATGCCATTTGTTTCAACTTTTTTGTTGGATTCTTTAAACTTTAATGGTCTTGGTAAAGAGTGTTTGTCTGACTTATTGCGTAGATTACCAGACTTAACTGATGAAGAATATCATAAAATTAATAATATTTTAATTGGAAAGGATGAAAGAAAAAAACAACAACAACAAGAGATGAAGGAAATGAAAGGGGAGGAGGAGGAAAATGTTTATGTTTTTGAAGGAGAAGAAGAACAACAACAAATACAAAAAACTTAGATTTTGTTGCAATTTTGTTATTTTGCAGATACAAACAACAAGAGGATTTGCGGTTAAAACAAACTTAATATTGTTTTATATATTGAACTAGTGGCTAACTTTATGTGTCATATCTAGAAC